CCCCGACTTTTGCCCGGCGCCGGGAACATGCCCCTGGCCGCCTACTGCTATCTGCGGGTCGTTGGTAGGGGCAGCTACGGGGAGGTGACGCTCGTGAGGCACCGGCGGGACGGCAGGCAGGTCGGCGGAGTTGGGGCCCATCAGGGGACGGGGAACACGCAGGGGGTCGCCCAGGGCTCTATCCAAACGTTAGACCCCGGGGTGGTCTGCAGGGGACTCACCCCGAGGGCACTTCCTCGGGGCCAGTGTCCCAGTCCACCGAGACTAGGCCATACCTTCCTGTAATACGCACCCCGAACACCCTGTACCTCTCCTTTGTGTGTTAATTTGTGTGCTTGATGGACACTTCTCCGGAGCACGCTCAACGATCCCGTGAGAGCAAACGTTCTCGGGACCTAACACAGCGCCTGGCAAATATTACTCCCTGAGGGACGGGCCCCATACCTATGACCTGGGGACCAGTGGACATGCTTAAAACTCAACTCATCACCTTTCTGCCAGCCTTCTCTCCTGATCCCGGTTTCAGCGAGTAGCACCACCAACCAGCCAGTTGCCCGCGCTGGACACCTGGGAGTCATTATTGATTCCCCTCTTCCCCTCACCCCCATTCATCTGTCCACTAAGCCCGCAGGCTCTTCTCCATCTCCACTGGTACCACTCCAGGCCAGGACATCTTTATCTCCAGGTAAACTCTTGTCCAGGCCTCCCACTGGTCCCTCCTGCCACACGACTTGCTCTTCCCCCGTCCATCCCTTTCATTGCAATCTTAGTGATTGTTCTAAAAGTTAGGTGTAGTGTCACTCCTTTGCTTAAAGCACTTTGTCTTAACTTCAGGATAAGGAGCCAGCCAGTTCTTTAATGTGGTTTATAAATAAGTTGACCATATAATATATTGCACAGACTGGGACAAGTTTGAAACTGAAAGGAGGTGCCATTGATAATTACACCAACACAACAGGGCTGCCCCAGGCAAGCTTACAGATGCCCACCTAAGTATAAGACTCTCGCCTACTCTTCTTTGTCTCGGGTGCTGGTCACTCTGCCTGGAACAAAAGCTCAGGCATAAGAGAGTTATTCAGTAGGCAGATGTGTGTGTGTGTGAGGGGAGCAGTCATTGGGTTTTTGAGTTGAGGATAGCCCCTCACATTTGAGCAGAAGTTTACATTTTACAAAGCACAATTATATATGTGTTCGTTGAGTGATAATTATGTGGTCTTTTGATTGATTGAGGGTAGTGTATTAGGTGTGAGAGGATATTGATTTTTTTTTAATGTGGGAATAATTTTGTATGTTGAGGGTCAGTGATTTTTAATCTTACTGGGCTATGGATCCCTTTGAAAACTTCATGCAACCCATGGATCCATTCTGCCTGAAGAATTTTTGTGTGTGACTACCCTGCTATTAGTCTAACCTGTAAAAAGTACTATTAGTGAGAGCAGTTATTTTTTCTCAATTTTGTGCTTTTTGAATAATAAAATGAGTAGGTTATTGGACAAGTTTCAGAAGATTAATTTTGAGGACATTCAGGAGAGCACTAAATACTTCTGAACCTATAAAGCTGTATGTTTATTTTTTACATTGTAAAAACACGTGTTTTCTTTGTAGTATGTCATCAAAAAACTGAACCTGCGAAATGCCTCCAGCCGAGAGCGGCGAGCTGCTGAACAAGAAGCCCAGCTCTTGTCCCAGCTGAAGCATCCCAATATTGTCACCTACAAGGAGTCCTGGGAGGGAGGGGACGGTCTGCTGTACATAGTCATGGGCTTCTGCGAAGGAGGTGATCTGTACCGAAAGCTCAAGGAGCAGAAAGGGCAGCTCCTGCCTGAAAGTCAGGTGGTGGAGTGGTTTGTTCAGATCGCCATGGCTCTGCAGGTACTGTCCAGACTCACAGAATCCTGCTTGCTCCAAGGGGCCGGGGGAGGACAGGTGGATTTTAGGGAAATTCTTCCCAAAATGTGTACATGAAAAAAATGGATTTTTTGAAAATCCATTTGTGAAGTGGACCCGGTTGCTCATGTTATAGCATTGGAATGTTTCTGAATGAGTGACATCCATATTGAAGTAGACATGGATTTCATGTCTAATTGGAGGAAAAACCAATTCTCCATTTAATATTTATACCAAAGTCCATTTTAAGGGCCCTGAGTTGACAGAGAGCAAAGAATGACCATGCTTGTTATCAGCTGGTCAGCTGTGTCATACTGAAAGGTGGTTGGGCTAATGGATATGCTTAAACCGCTGGATTTGGGGTTTAACCTTGTGGCAAAGTGAGTGGAAATATAAAACATGTTTGTGGTTTAATATACACATATTCAGTAGCGAGACTGTTTATGAAATCCTCTGGATTTGGACAGACTTGTCCAGAGTTAGTTGACCTTGTAGTTTAAATTCTAGGATACTCTCTCTAAATAAACGTGAACTTGTTGTATTTGAAAATATTATTAAGCTGAAGAGTCTATGAATCTGAGAGGAAAGTGCCTCTGACCTTGTAAAGTTGTTTTTTTTCTCCTCAGTGAGAGTTTGTAAGCACTAAATGATATAATGGTTAATGAACAATTGTGAAGGATACTGGAATTTTTTACTTTTTAAAAAGGCAATTGTCCACCTTTAATATATGCTCTAGTACACATGTGTGTGGTGGGTGGCTGCTGAGCATTTGGGGAACCCCAGGTGCCCGGGGTTTGCCTGTGCTCAGTACTCCTCTTTGAAATTGTCTTGAGCCCACCGGTGAACTTTTGAGGCCCCAGAGGTGGCCCGAGGGGCAGGGCCAGGTTCACCCAGCCGGGGCCCATAGGGGAGCATGTGGCTTCTGTTGAGTCTGCGGACATGGTAGTTCTTGTAGTGGACATTGTGGGTGATGTTGTTCAGGTCTTGGAGGTGGGAGCATGGGCTACCTGTGCAGCTGCAGCGTCTGGAGCATGGGCCCTGCCCCAGGCGCGGTGGGGTGGACTTCTACACCGTGGACTTTACCAGTGTGTTCACCATCATGCACTTGCCCCAACCCGCTCTGCCCAGCACCACCCACTCCATTGCCGTTGCTATCATCACAGTTGCTATTGCTGAGCTCACCCTTTTTATTTTATTTTAATGTATAATTGTTTTTTAATTTCCTGTGGGGTTTTTTTTTTTTTTTTTTTTAGAGAGAGAGGAAGGAAGAGAGAGAGAAAGAGAGAGAAACATTGACTTTTTGTTCCACTTATTTATGCATTCATTGGTTGATTCTTGTATGTGCTCTGACCAAAGATCGAACATGCAACCTTGGCGTATAGGGACAATGTTCTAACCAAATGAACTACCTGGCTAGGGCAATTCTTTTACTTTGGAAAGTTGTAAATCAGACTTTTTATTTAGAGACTATAAAACAATAGTGTTTTGATATGTAGATAACTATGGCTCTTTAACTCATGTAATTATTAATGGTATATAAGAAGTCAGGAGTAAATAAGTAGATAGGTATATTTATACTTAGTGAAATTTTATTTCTCTTTTCAGTATTTACATGAAAAACACATCCTTCACCGAGATCTGAAAACTCAAAATGTCTTCCTAACGAGAACAAACATCATCAAAGTGGGTGACCTAGGAATTGCCCGAGTGTTGGAGAACCACTGTGATATGGCTAGCACCCTCATTGGCACACCCTACTATATGAGCCCTGAATTGTTCTCAAACAAACCCTACAACTATAAGGTAGGACAATATGCCAGCTCACCTTGTCTCTAGGACAGTATTCATGATTTCAAAGCTCATCAGAATAGTTATGTCAAAGAATTCTCTGTGAATTGGTGTAACGAAAATGTCTTTTTCTTTTTAGGAGGAAAAATGTAAATAAGGCATTCTGATATATAACCATTTACTGTTTTTCTTTTCTAGTCTGATGTTTGGGCTCTGGGATGCTGTGCTTATGAAATGGCCACCCTGAAGCATGCTTTCAATGCAAAAGACATGAATTCTTTAGTTTATCGGATTATTGAAGGAAAGGTAAGGAAAATTTTGGAACTAATTGTTTTAAATATTTGGAGCAATGTTAATTTAATGCAGCTTTGTAAGTTGCTACTGACAAATGTGAGTAATCATTATTATTGGGTGGATAATTAAGAACGGTGGGAAAGGTTGAACTGGAGGAGAAGGAATTGATCATTTCTTAATATTAATTTGTAAAAGTGGCTTAATGGCTCCAAGGAATTTGCTTTTTGAAAACCACTATGTATAGCCACAGGATGTGCAGGTGCCCTAAGGGACTATTGGTAGCTTCTCCTAAATAGCTTATGGTCAAATGAGCCCCATTTAAAATGAGTCCATTCTTGCCTGGCTGATGTTGCTCAGTGGTTAGCATCGATCCTTGAACCAAGAGTTCCCTGGTTCGATGCCCAATCAGGGCACATGCCCAGGTTATGGGCTCTATCCCCAGTAGGGGGTGTGCAGGAGGCAGCTGATCAAAGTTTCTCTCTTACCGATGTTTCTATCTCTATCCCTCTCTCTTCCTCTGTCTCTAAAATCAATAAAAACATATTTAAAATAAGTAAATAATTAAAATGAGTCCATTCTATTTGAACTTGTTCTTTTGATACCAAAGTGACCAACTTTATATGTTAGTTCCATGAGGTTATTTGCCCTCTGCAGTGTCAGGCATCCATATACCAACAAGTTTAAGGCTCTAAATGACCTACTGATTTAATTTAATCAAATTAAAAATAATTTTTTAATTTGAGAAATATTAAATTGTTTAATATTTAAAAATTAGATATTGAAAAATACAAAAGAAGTAAAAATCTTCCATAATTATACTATTTAAAGAATCAAACAAGAAAGGAGTAAAATTCCCCTCTCCTATCCATTTTAATCCCCTGTAGATAACCATTGCCAACAATTTGGTACATGGCCTTCCTGGCTTTTTCTTGTCTTATATAGAGATAACTCTAGGTGTATATATGCACATATACACACATCTATAATAGCAAAAACATAATATGCTAATTAGACCGGACAGCTGAACGACCTTCCGGACGAAGCTGTGGGGGCGGGGGCCAAGGCAGAGGTGATTAGGGGCAATCAGGCAGGCAGGCGAGTTATTAGGGGCCATCAGGCAGGCAGGTGAATGGTTAGGGGCGATCAGGCAGGCAGGCAAGGGGCATAGGGGCAATCAGGCAGGCAGGCAAGTGGTTAGGGCAATCAGGCAAGCAGGCAGAGTAGTTAGGGGTGATCAGGCAGGCAGGCAGGCAAGCGGTTAGGAGCCAGTGGTCCCGGACTGCAAGAGGGATGTCCGACTGACGGTTTAGTCCCGATCCCGCTGTGGGATCAGGCCTAAACCGTCAGTCGGACATCCCCTGAGGGATCCCGGATTGCGAGAGGGTGCAGGCCAGGCCGAGGGACCCCACTGATGCATGATCGGGGCCTGGGAGGGACCGCGGGAGGGTTTCAGGGTGTGTCTGGCCCATCTCGCTCAGTCCTGATCGCTGGACCCCAGCAGCAAGCAAACCTACCAGTTGGAGCGGCTGCCCCCTGGTGGTCAGTGCACATCATAGCAACTGGTCGACTGTCTGCCCCCTGTTGGTCAGTGCACGTCATAGCGAGCGGTTGAGTGGCCTTAGCATATCATTAGCATATTACACTTGGATTAAATGGATGACTGGACACTTAGTATATTAGGCTTTTATTATATAGGATATTCCCTATGCTGAACTTTACATCTTCATGACTATTCTGTAACTATCAATTTGTACTTCTTAATCCGTTCACCTTTGTCACCCACCCCGCCAACTGCCTTCTCATCTTTTTCTGGAGTTTTGTTTTGTCCTTTCATTTGGGACATGTTTCTTTGTCTCTTCATTTTTGCAGCATCCCTGTGTTTGTTTCTATTATCAGGTAGAGTTGCTATGTCTTCTAGGCTTGGTAGAGTGGCCTAATGTAGTAGGTGTTCTATAGGGTCCTATGGCACAGCCTCCCTGATCACCCAGGCTGGGCACTCCAGGTGAACTCCCTATGTGGGCTGTGTACACCCTCCTGTTGTAGTTGAGCCTTGATTGCTGTTAATGCATCAATGGGAGGGATTTACTCCCAGGATGATCCGCTGCAAGGACTGACTATAACCATCAACGTCTGACTACTGTGGAGGATCAGCTATGTGGTGGTCCACTCCACAGAGCAGGACTTACTTCAGCAGGGCTCTGGTGCCTGCTGAGTCTGCCCCTTGAGTGTGTCACTTGTGGAGGTGATTGGGTGGTGGTGCTTTGACATGGTCTGAAACTGTCCACTGGGTGTGCTGGCTCTGGGCCCTCCCAGGAGGTACAGGCCAAGGTTAGGCACCACCTGTGTTCTGCCCAGGACCACATGACATGAGCTAAAAAGTTATCTGCAGATGGCCACTACTTGTGCTGGACTTAGAGGAACTCAGGTGAGGCCAAGCTGTGAACCAAGGCCAGGTGCTGCTAGTCCCAGGCATTGTTGGGTCATTTAGCGAGAGGTGTGGGGCTTACTGAGGCCAGATGCTGCTTTTTTCAGAGGTTTTAGGAAAATCTGAAGCAAGAGCCAAGACAGGCCATTCTTATGAAAAACCACTGGAAACAGCTTGAGTGGGCTCAAAAGTTGGGTAGGGCAGGGCCTTAGGGAGTCACCAGGGAAAAGCAAACAGTGTGAGTGAGGTTGATGGAATCGCCCACCTGCCAGCTTTGTGGGAGGATGAAACAGTGGCCTCTGCCAGCACTTTTGTCTGGGAGAAAACTGCCCCTCAGCTGTTGCCCCAGTGCTGGAGCTCAGACAGTGAGTCTGAGTAAGTCTGTGTGTGGGCCCTTTAAGAGGAACTGCCTGGGACTCCAGCCAGGCCTCTGTCTCCCCTAGTCTCAATCCCTGCTGATTTTTATAGCCAGAGTCTATGGCGACTCTCTTCCTGGCACTGGAACCCTGGAACCTATTGCTCCTCAGGAAGACCTCTGCAGCTGAAATATCCCTCCTGATTTTTAACCGCCACACATTGGTGTGGGACCAGCCTGTTCCGCATCTCCTCCCCTCCTACCAGTCTTTATGTGGCTTCTTCTTTAATTTCCTAGTTATAGGACTTCCATTCAGCCAGATTTCAGGTGGTTCTGAATAATGGTTGTTCTTTAGTTTAGTTGTAATTTTACTGTGGTGTGGCAGGATATGAGTACCATGTTTACCTATGCTCCCATCTTGACAGGATGTCTCATGCCCTTATTTCTGAAGGAGGGAGTCCTCAAATGGGAATGCTGGTTTGAAGAATATACTTTTACAACCTTACAACTTGCTGTTATAACCCGGACATCAGTATGCTTCCTGTAGACTAATACTGGTTATTTTATGCTTATGTGGATAATGACTTAAGATAAATATTGGAAAACTCTACCTTCATTTACTTTGCTTCACAAGATGATTAGTCATAATTGTAGTATTTCTCTTTGTAGCTGCCACCAATGCCGAAAGATTATAGCCCAGAGCTGGCAGAACTGATAAGGACAATGCTGAGCAAAAGGCCTGAGGAAAGACCCTCTGTAAGGAGCATCCTGAGGCAGCCTTACATAAAGCGCCAAATCTTCTTCTTTTTGGAGGCCACAAAGGCGTAAGATACTTCCCTTGCAAGTAGCTGGGCTATATAGATGGAGTAAAAGAGGGTGGTTTCTATAATTTTAATGTGCAAGAATTTATGGTGAGTTCCTTTTAAACATGAAGTGAAATTGCATGATTAGAACATATGTTGAGATTTGCTTAATTGCTAAAATCAGAAATTGAGAGAACCATTCAGAGAATCACTTTAACATTCCTCAGAGGATTCCAAGACATATTGAGTATGATTCTCTTAAAAAGGCATGTGTTTTAGAAACCATTTTAAAATGAGAGATTATCAAAGAAACCTATTACATTATTATGTAAGATAATAGTCACATCTAAAATATAGTGCTCAGATTTCTGAGACCTTCATAAGCTTCCCTCTTCACTCATGACTTCTCAAGAGAAAGAGAATTATTTTCTTTGACTTGCAGGTCCTACCTTCACTGAGCAGGTATTCCAGAATCTAAACCTTGAGGCTAAGCAAGGCCTTCATGATTTCTGCTTTGTGACATGTTAAATTTGGGAGACAAGTCCCCAGGGATAAAGGACTACCTTTTTGTTTACATTGTCTCTAATTTCCCACCAAACAGAACTTTGACCTTCAATCTCCAGTGCTAGTCTTCATGCTTCTCTTGAATTTTCCAGAGGTTTAGCCCTGTTGTAGAAACGTCACACTAGAACAGTTGGGGATATTGTTTCTATATATATTTATTCTGCAAGTCAAGGCTGAATATTACCAATCATTTTTACTCTCAAACTTCGCAAAGCAGTTGTGGTAGTATTTCAAACATATGAGACTTGAAGATGAAAATTATCCTGGTACTTCTATATGTGAGGCAATTTCTCAGAGATTTTTTTTTAATCCTCATCTAAGAGTATGTTTATTGATTTTAGAGACAGGAAGTGGGGGTGGAGGGAGAGAAAGAGAGAGAGAGAGAGAGAGAGCGAGAAAGAAACATCGATATAAAGAGAAACATTGCCTCGCATATGCACCCTGACCAGGGATTGAACCTGCAACCAATGTATGTACCCTGATTGGGAATCGAACCCACAACCTTTTAGAGCACGGAACAATGCTCCAACCAACTAAGCCAGGCGGCCAGGACAATTTCTCAGAGATTTTTATTTTGGAAAACTTTTGTATTTACAGAAAAGTTGGAGAGATAGTACACCGACTTTCTGTATACCTGCCATGCAGTTTCTCCTAACATTACCATGGTACATTTGTTAGTACTAAGAACCCTCATCAGTACCTTACTGTTGGCTAAACAAACTCCAGACTTTCATCAGCTTTCCCCAGTTTTTCCACTAATGTCTTTTTCTATTTCAGGATCCAATCCAGGATATCATATTACATTTAGTCCTCATGTCTCCTTAGTTAGGTTGGGTCTGGGACAATTTTCACTTTCTTTGTTTTTCATGACCTTGATTGTTTTTGAAGAGTACTGGTCAAGTGTTTTGTAGAATTAACCCTGGTTTGTAAAAGACTGTTCTCTATAAATTAAGCAATTCTGTAAGGGAATGTTATACATACACACATTTTCTCATATATCTGTCATCTTCAATATATTGATAATATAAAGAAAAAAACTTTTCATCTTAATTATATTGATAACTTTTTCTTTTCTTCCTCATAAAGAAAAACCTCCAAGAATAATATTAAAAATGGTGACTCTAAATCCAAGCCTGTTTCTTCAACGGTTTCTGGAAAGGCTGAATCAAATCATGAAGTAGTTCCCCCCCAACCACAGTCTTCTGAGGGCTCCAAGACATATGTAATGGTATGTTTCTTTTTAAAAGGATACATGTTTTAGAAACTATTAAAATGATAGGTTATATAAATAAGTTACTTTATGTGAAGTGATTAGGCTTTACTGGAGATTCTGTTATGTAATTAATTGTGTATTGTAGAGAAAGAATGCTGGTGAAGGTGATTTCGTTTAGCTCACTTTATTCAAAGTGGGCTGTCAAACTTCATGAAGTCAGTGCTGCAATAACTTTATTCTAAGAATTTCTTTTATTGAGGTGAAATTTATATAACAAAGTTAACCATTTAAAAAAAATCTTTATTATTCAAAGTATTATATGTGTCCCTCTTTCCCCCCATTAACCCTTTATAGCAAAGTTAACCGTTTTAAAGTGAACAATTAATTGCATTCAGTACATTCAGACTTCCATTCAACCATCGCCTCTATCTAGTTCGCCTCTATCTAGTTCTAAAACATTTTCACGTCACTCCAAATGAAACCCCATACTTATTAAATAGTCATCCTCATTCCTATCCGGCCCCTGAAAACTACCACCAGTGTGTTTTCTGTCTCTTATGGGTTTGCTAGATATTTCATATAAATGGAATCATACAATATGTGACCTTTTGTGTCTTGGCTTCTTTCAGTTAACATAATGTTTTTGTATCAATACTTCATTTATATGTATGTGTGAATAATATCCCATTGTATGTATATACCACAATTTGTTTATCCATTTATTCATTGATAGATATTGGGTGGTTTTCACCTTTTGGTTATTGTTATGAACATTTGTGTACAATTCTTTATTTTCTCCTAGTAATTAATTTTTAATACTTATTGATTTGAGAGAGAGAGATAGAGAGAGAGAGAAACATCAATTTGTTGTTCCATTTATTTATGCATTCATTGGTTGGTTCTTGTATGTGCCCTACCTGGGGATCAAACCTGAAACTTTGGTGTAATGGGACAATGCTCTAACTAACTGAGCTACCTGGCCAGGGCCTGCTTTCACTTCTTTTGGGTATATTCCTAGGACTTGAAATTTGGTAATTCTATCTTTAACTTTTTTAAAAAATATGTTTTTATTGATTTCAGAGAGGAAGGGAGAAGGAGAGAGAGATAGAAACATCAGTGATGAGAGAGAATCATTGATCGGCTGCCTCTTCCATGCCCCCCACTGGGGATCAAGCCCGCAACCTGGGCATGTGCCCTGACCAGGAATCAAACCGAGACCTCCTGGTTCATGGGTCGATGTTCAACCACTGAACCACACTGACTGGGCGAGCCATTTTTAAGTGTACCATTTAGTAGCCTTAATTATATTCAAAGTGTTGTGCAACCATCACCACTATCTTCTAAAAACACTTTCATCATTCCAAACAAAAACTCTGTACCCATTAAGCACTAACACTACATTTTTCCCCACTCCCAGGCCTTGTTAACCTCTATGAATTTGCCTGCTCTAGGTATCTTATATAAGTAGAACCATACCATATTTATTCTTTTGTGTCTGACTTATTTCACTTAGCGTGTTTTCAAGGACTATACATGTTGTAACATGTATCAGAACTTCATTCCTTTCTATAGCTTTATAATGTTCCACTGTATGTATACCACATTTTGTTTATCCATTCATCTGCTAATAGACATTTGGGTCTTTTCCACCTTTTGGTCATCGTGACTAATACTGCTATAAACATTGGTGCACAAATACCTGTTTGAGTTCCTACTTTCAGTTCTTTGGGATATGTACCTAGGAGTGGGATTGCTGGGTCATCAGGTAATCCTATGTTTAACTTTGTGAGGAACCTGTTGTTCCATTTTGAGTTAATTTGTTTATATGGTGTGAAGAGTGCTGTAATAACTTGGAAGCATTTCACTTAGGATGAAGACAAAGGTTTATCCCAAGAGAAACACATAGTCATTGACCCCTTGAAGACACCTGCAAGTCTGAAAGGCCACACCTGCAAAGCAGACATGAGCAGTACCACAGAATCACTAGCTACAATCAGTAGAGTGAACATTGACATCTTACCTGCAGAAAGGAACTTGAGCGACGGGTTAGTTCAAGAGAATCAGCCAAGATGCATAAATGTCTCTAATGAGCTAGAAGGTAAATGTAATATTTCTCAAGTGAAGGAGAGGCTGCAGGATAACACTAAGTCCAGCACTCGACCTGGAAACCTAATTCCTACGTGGTCCTCTAACAGTGTCACTGGGGAAAGAAAAGAGAAGCCTCTGCAGCCCCTAAACAAAGACCAAAAGCCAAAGGACCAGGTGAGTGATGTGCATGAGGTGTTCATCTGAGAAGACTGGAAAGTGTGGTTACAAAGGCATGGGGTGTGTTATTTGGTTGTATTCTAGTTGTGGTTTTAGGAAAATCAGCTCTTCAGTGTACCAGTTTAAACACAAAGGATGAGACCCAGGGATTCTTAGGTGCCTTCAGTGCCCTGGCATAAGGTACTTGGGGGAAGCATGCTATTTGTACGCTTTTTTTCCTATTTCAGTATCATCATTCTTCCTTAGTCCTCCAAGTGGATAGGTAGTTCCAACAGTTAATATCACATTTCTTCTTGCTTTTGAAAAGTTAGTGGAAAAGGAAGGAAGGAAGGGAAGGAAGGAAGGAAGGAAGGAAGGAAGGAAGGAAGGAAGGGAGGAAGGAAGGAAGGAAGGAAGGAAGGAAGGGGAAGGAATAAAAAAATTAGTGGATTGATCTGATTTCTTAAGGAGTAAAAATAAATATTTTATATTTTGGAACCAAAGGGGAAGGAAGAAGAGAAGATAAGAAAAGAAATAAAAGTAACCAAAAAAAAGGAACAGAAGGATTTTGATACTGAGAGACTATTCTGAGTATATTTAATGGCCATCTTCTACTTGAACTTGGAAAGAAACCTAAATTAGATGAAGCATGGTAATAGCTGAGGATGAGAGAAAAAAACAGAACATTTAATTAACTTTACTCTTTTTGTGTAAAATATTTTATAAATAGATTTAATAGGTATATTGACTATATTTTTATAATCTATGCTATATATATTTGGATTTGATACATTATATATTTTATTTAACATCATTTAATATAAACATTAAAACTATTTTATACATTTATATTCAGATGTTTTTAATAAAGTTTTGTTTTTATGGAAAAGAACAAGTATACTGCTTTTATCATTTAAAGTCATTGGATTAAACCAAAATATAGTCTTAAGCTTTCTTTGGACACTGGAATCCTTAGTACCTTATAAAGTTTTGTGTGTCTTACTTGTTCTGCTTGGCTGTCAAATTAAATTCAAGTTCACTTTTTTAAAAATATATTTTTATTGATTTCAGAGAAGAAGGGAGAGGGAGAGAGAGATAGAAACATCAGTGGTGAGAAAGAATCATCAATTGGTACCTCCTACATGCCCCCACTGGGGATGGAGCCTGCAACCCGGGCATGTGCCCTGACTGGGAATCTAACCATGACCTCCTGGTTCATAGGTCCACTCTCAACCACTGAGCCATGCCGGCTGGGCTTTTATAAAAAATTTTAAGGTACCAATTCACTGGTTTTTATTATATTTATAAACTTCTGCAATCATCACTACTGTCTAATTCCAGAACTTTTTCATCACCTCAAAAAGAAACCCCATATCTAATAATAGTCATGCTTCATTTCTCCTTGCTCCCAGTCCCCAGCTCCTATTGTCTATTTGGATTTGCCCATTCTGAGCATTTCATATAAATAGAAGAACCATATAATACAGCATATGGTCTTTTGTGTCTGGCTTCTTTTACTTAGCATAATGTTTTCAAGGTTTATACTTGTAGTATGTGCCAGTATTTCATTCCTTTTTATTGCCAATTAAAGTCCACTGTATGTATGTATCATATTTTATTTCTTCATTCCTCAGTGGATGAGCAGTGGGGTTGTTCTCACTTTTTGGCTACTATGGATAATGCTGCTATGAACATTCTTATACAAGTTTTTAGTGTGGATGTTCACTTCTCTTGGGTATATACCTAGTTGTGGAATTGAGGGGTCATGTGGTAACTCTATGTTTAACTTTTTGAGGAATTGCAAATTGTTTTTCAAAGCAATTACATCCTTTTACTTCCTACCAGCAATGTATGAGAGTTATAATGTCTCCACATCTTCACCAATACTTTTTTTTTTTCTAGCCATCCTAGTGGGTGTTAAGTGGTATCTTATTGTGGTTTTGCTTTGTATCCTTAATGACTAATGATGTTGAGCATCATTTCATGTGCTTTTTGGCCATTAGTGTACCTACTTTGGAGAAATATCTATTCAAATCCTTTGCCCATTTTTTAGTTGGTTTATCTTTTTGTTGTTGAGTTATAAGAATTTTTTATTCTAGATGTTAGTACCTTATAAGATATAAGGTTTGAAAATATTATCTCTCATTCTGTGGGTTATCTTTTCACTTTATTTTTAGTTTATTTTATTGATTTTTGAGAGAGAGAAATATCGATGTTAGAGAGGAACAATTGGCTGCCTCTACACATGCCCCGACCAGGAATTGAACCTGCCACCTCCTGGTGCATGGGGTGACCATCCAACCAACCGAGCCACACCAACCAGGTTGTATTTTCACTTTCTTGATAGTGTTCTTTGAAGCACTACAGTTTTTAATTTTATTTATTTTTAACGATTGAAGATCCATGAGGGTGAAATTTGGGGGAAGGAGAAATCTGGCTGGATAATTCATGCTTGTTTTAATAGCCATGTAATCAGAATCAATATGCAGAAGACATTTTCTGAAATAGTCTAAAATAATCTATATCTCATTAGATGGTAGTGTCAATAGAACAAAGTCTTGCCACAGAATATGTTCTCTGCAATCTGCAGTTAATTAAGCAGAGGGACAAATTGTATTTAAAGACCTGTTTCAAGAATATCAACACCATTATTTTCTAATACAAAGTTTTTTTCCCATAATGCATGTGACCCCTCTTTTTTTCCTCTGTGGTACTTGATTGCAAAGAATTTTTAAAATAGGGAGAGTCCTCATCACAGAATTTTAGTTATCTCTGGAATGTGTCTTAGGTCCCTACATACCATCTTCTTTCACTGTTCTCTGAGATTTCACCCTATGGTTTCATTCATTATAGCTAAGGCTTTGTTGTAAATTAAACAGAAATTCTTGGGTAGAGGTAACTCACATCTTTCTTCTTTCCTCCCTCTCTTCTTCTTTTCCGTCTATCCCTTCATCCTTTTGTCCCTGTCTCCCTCCCACCCAAAATATCAAAAGACCTCAACATTTCTGGTTGAAGTGGGAGTAGAGAACTTGAGGCAACATTGGCACCCTTGCCCACCCCTTGCCCACTCAAGGCCAGCAAAGCACTTGTAGATTCAGGACAACCCTGGGGCTCCCACTCACCTAGATAATAGGGCAGCCACAGGGGAGTCTTCCTCACTTTTGCACAGTGCATGGGACACTGCTTCATGCCCTCTGATTGCTCCAACAATGAATTAAATCTAGACCTGCTGGCTAAGAATTATGGAATTTGAAACTGGTTTGACTGTGTTGAGCTGGCTGACTGGTTCGACTGTGTTGAACTGGCTGACAAGGAAATATTAATTCAAATAGGAATAAGGTTTGACTTCATGGTGTGATGAAGTATTGGGCAGACATGGGTTCAGGTCCTAACTTTGATTCAGAGCTGTGGTGGGACCCTGCATAAATCATCTAACTGTCATAACCTCAGTGTCTTCACCTTAAAACAGGGACAATAATACTTCATTGGATTGCTGGGAGGAAAAAGATTTTAATTGTGATGAAATCCAATTTTGTTCATTTTGTTATTGTTGTTGCTTGTGCTTTTGGTGTCATGAATAGTTACCCCTATGTTGTCTTCTAAGAGTTTATAGTTTTAGTTCTGACATTAGGTCTATGATTCATTCGGAGTTAATTTTTGTGTATAGTGTAAAGAAAAGGTCCAACTTTATTCTTTTGTATGTAAATATCCAGGTATCCCAGCACTTTTCATTAAAAGACTAGAGGCCCCATGCACGAAATTTGTGCTAGAGTAGGTCTTCCTTTCCCTGGCTGCTGGCTCCGGCTTCCCTCTGGCCACTGGCAGGCACCCGGGACCTGGGCAGCCTCGGGTTCATCCGGAAGGTCATCTGGTCTAATTAGCATATTACACTTTTATTATTATAGAGGCCCGACGCATGAAATTCGTGCAAGAGTAGGCCTTCACAGCCACGGTGGCTGCCTGGATCCCTCCCTCGCAGCCATGGAGGCTGCCTCCATCACAGAAGGACGTGCGGTCTAATTGGCATATTATGCTTTTATTATTATAGATTATTCTTTCCCCATTGAATTTTCTTGGCACTCTTGGTGGAAGTCAGTAGACCATAAATGTAATGGTTTATTTCTAGACTCTCAATTCTTTTTCACTGGTTTATGTGTCTATCCTTATGTAAGTAAAACCCTGTTTTAAATATTGGTAGCTTGGCAGTAAGTTTTGAAGTTGGGAAGTTTGAGTCTTCTAACTTTATTCTTATTTTACAATATTGTTTTGACTAGTTCAGGTTTTTTGCATTTCCATGTGAATTTTAAGATCAGCTTGTCAATTTCTGAAGAAAAAAAAAAGGGATTTGATAGGATTACGTTAAATCTGAGGTTCATTTGCAGAATATTGCTATCTTAATATAGAGAGTGGGGCAAAAGTAGGCGTATAGTTGTGAGTATGTGAAACAGAATTTATTCTTGTATTATTGTTTATTAATTATTGTATTATTTTATACAAACAACTGTGAATCTACTTTTGCATGACCCTGAATGTCTTCGAACATGTGGACATTAAATGTCTTTTAATTTATTTAGATCTTCTTTAAATTCTTATAATGATGTTTTATTGTTTTTAGTTTGCACTTATTTTGTGAAATTTATTTCTTTGCATTTTATTCCATTTGATACTATTGTAAATGGAATTGTTTTCTTAATTTCATTTTCATAGTGTTCATTGCTTGTGTATAGAAATACAATTGATTTTTGTATATTAATCTTATACCACACAGCCTTTACTGAACCCCATTATTGGTTCTAATAATTTTTTTTATAATGGATGCCTTAGGATTTTCTGAATATAAGATCATGTCATCTGTGAACAGAGATAGTTTTACTTCTTCCTTTCCAATCTGGATTGTTTTTATTTCTTTTTCTTGCCTAATTGCTCTGGCTAGAACCTCTACTACAATGTGTAAATGAAAGTGTTGAGAGGGAACATCTTGTTTTGTTCCTGATCAAATTAATTTGTTACATAAGCGGTTTTTAAAAGTACATCTTAAATATGTTTTTATTGATTTTTAGAGTGAGAGGAAGGGAGAGGGAGAGAGAGATAGAAACATTGATGAGAGAGAAACATAATTGATTGGCTGCCTCCTGCAAGCCAATCAATTGGGGATCGAGCCCGCAATCTGGGCATGTGCCCTGACTAGAAATCGAATCACTCAACCACGGAACCACACCAGCCGGGCTTACATCAGGGTTTTAGAGCAGATTTTTTGTTTGATAGAATTTTATGTCCAGCATTTCCTCTTTTTGTGTTACTATTTTTAAAAATAGAACTTTTTTTCCAAGACAATTGGATTTTATGGAGAAATCCCCTAATCATTTATTCTGTCACTCTTGTACTTGTATAAGCTTTATTTTGAACAGCCTATGCTTACCACCAGCAGAGAAACATTTACCTCATGCTTCAGAATTATATCAATCATTGTTTATTATCTTGATTGTCTTGTTCAGCTTGAATATTATGTAGTAATATTGTAAAATTTAATCATTTACTATATTTTATACATAATGTTAGGTGTACTCTTGAAAGAATAAACTTAACAAGTTATCCTATATAATAAAAGGCTAATATGCAAATCAACTGAATGGTAGAACGACTGGTCACTATGACACACACTGACTACCAGGGGGAGCTGCCCCCGGTGGTCAGTGCACTCCCACAGGGGAAATGCTGCTCAGCTAGAAGCCCTGAGCCAGGCTCACGGCTGCCAAGTGCAGCAGTGTTGGCAGGAGCCTCTCCCACCTCCATGGCCGTGCTAAGGCTTAGACCCAGGGGGAGCGGGCCTAAACCGTCAGTTGGACATCACCTGAGGGCTCCCAGACTGCAAGAGGGCACAGGCTGGGCTGAGGGACGCCCCCTGCACCCGAGTGCACAGATTTCGTGCACTGGGCCTCTAGTTACCTGTAGGAGTCACTGTTTTGTATTTGTTAGCGGATATGAAGCATAGATGATGTCTTAATGATACTGACTCTTAGAAGCAATTTCACTTTGTATTAATACTACATTGTTAATTTTTCTTCCTAAAAATGTACCACATAGTAGGCTCTTGAAAAAAATTGTTGATTGAGCCATATTCAATTATTTGAAAACTTAGATATTCTGATATTTAAAATTTGTTTGAAAAATTTAAGTAGCTACTTTATTTTATTTTATTTTTAATCCTCACCGTAGGATATTTTTCCATTGATTTTTTTTTAGGGAGAGGAAAAGACAGAGAGAAACAGCAATGTGAGAGAAACTCACCGATTGGTTGCCTCTTGCACGTGCCCTGACCAGGACCAAGGTATGTGCTCTTGACTGGAATCGAACCTGGGACCCTTCGGTCTGCAGGCTGACACTCTATCCACTGAGCCAAACCGGCTAGGGCTTAAATATCTATTTTAATGTTTGGTATGAAATTAGTTTCTAAAACAGCTACCCAATAAAATGCTACGTCCTTGACCTGGCCAGGTTGGCTCTGCTCATTGAACATTGTCTGTACACTGAAAGGTGGTGGGTTTGATTCCTGGTCAAGGCACATACCCAGGTTTCAGGTAGATAGATGTTTTCTCCCTCCTTCCCTCCCTCCCTCCCTCCTTCCCTCCATCCCTTCTCTTCTCTCTAAAATCAATAAAAATAGCCCTACCCGGTTTGGCTCAGCGGATAGAGCGTCGGCCTGCGGACTGAAGGGTCCTGGGTTCGATTCTGGTCAAGGGCTTGTACCTTGGTTGCGGGCACATCCCCAGTAGGGGGTGTGCAGGAGGCAGCTGATCGATGTTTCCCTCTCATCGATGTTTCTAACTCTCTGTCCCTCTCCCTTCCTCTCTGAAAAAAATCAATAAAATATTTTTTTAAAAATCAATAAAAATAAAGCAAAACATGTCCTCAGATGAGGATTTTTAAAAACAAATAAATAAAAAAGACTAAGCCTTTGGTGAACTTTATATAACTTAAAAGGCAATTTATTTTACCATTACTACTGCTAGTAATAGCTCTGATTTTTTGAGTATTTAATGTGCTAGACATAGTTCTAAGTACTTTAGTGCACTATATTTCCTAATTCTCCAACAGTCATACAAATGTGTGTGAAGCATTTTACCCATTTACATATGGATGAAGAAACTGAGGTTCAGGAAGATTAAATTTCTCAGATATGACTCCATCTAACTCCAAATTCAATGTTCTTTTCATGGTAGTTTAAAGGCATTTTTCATGGCGCATCTAAATTACTCATGTTTACTTGGAAATTATGTATATGTTGAATTGGATTTCATTTAAAATATTTCTTAGTTTTCTGCATATTAGTAATTTCAGGTTAATAACAATATAAATAATTTAATTAAAATAATTATATTTTTAATTTGGGGGAAAAGAAAAAAGCCAGAAAATATGAATAACTGATTTTAGCATTATGTCTTTGCCTATAAACACTGTAAATACGCATTTATTTTGAGAAAAACAACTTCTTTTCATTTTCATTTATAATTTTAAAAGTAGGTACAGAGGGTTTGGCTGTTTGGAAATTCAAAAGACTATTTTATATTTTGTGTGTTTTTGTGTGTGTATTTTTTAAGGATCAAGTTGCCGGTGAGTGGGTTATGGAAAAACAGGACAGAATCCACCCAGGTTTACAGCCACACAGCTCGGGGTCTGAACCTTCCCTGTCTCGACAGCGACGGCAGAAGAAAAGAGAACAGACTGAACACAGTGGGGAAAAAGGACAGGTTGGACGAGATCTCTTGACGAAGTCATTGTGCAACTGCTTGGGAAGTAGGAAGCTCAAGTTCTACTTAGAATGATTAGCAGTTGCCAGATAGGCACACGGGAAATGCAAGGAACATTTAGAGGGGTGACAAGGGCAAGATAGTAGTTTTCAAATGTCAGTAAGTTGGAAGCAGAGTAAGGATTTTGTCTTTCCCAGCAAAGATGGACAGATTGAGAGTTAAAGAAACAGGCTAATGAGTACATCCGATTCTCCCTGTTATATTGATGAGCAGTTTCTCCCTCATCTTCTGTATACAATCATGTTGACATCTCATTTCTTTTTTTTTTCTTTAATTGAGATATTACACCATTTCTTGAAGTAACTTTCATAGGCACACTCTCATAATACTTCACTTTGGCAGAATTTCTTCCCCCCAAAATTCAGTGTTTTGAAGTTTTTGAGAGCAAATCACTGTTGAATACATAGGAAACTTACTAATAGGGGTACTTTGGAGGTGGGTTATCATTATCATATGAAACTGATAAGTTCCCCCTCTTTTAAAAATATTTAAGTTCCAGGAGGCTCTGCCGCAACTTTTGCCTTCTCTTCCTGCTGTTGGAAAAGGGGATGTCATATTAACCCAAAAGGATGCTGAAAACCAAAATAGAGTGATCACTGAGTCTGTGAGCAGTTCCAGGAGCAGTGAGATGTCATCATCAAAGGTTTGTGGGGGGTATTTGTCGGATTAAAAAAAACCTATAAAGCTTTTTGGTTATGAAATCCTGCATATATTATGAAGTTTTGTATTAAAATATCTTAGCCCTACTTTTTGCCAAACACTGTAAGGAATATATATGTGATTCTTAGTAGAAGCACTGATGAAGTGGACAGACTCTAAAGTTCCAGAGATGGTCACTTATGGTTAACTAGGAGACCAAGTAGATTCTGAATAGAGGAAATGCCAAATTCCCCAATTGTCCTTCCAAAAATGAGTACAGTACTTCCTAGAAATGGGGCTGCTGTGATCGGTCCTAGCTAGTAGCTGTAACCCTGATGCAGACTGGTCTGTGCAAGGTCTTTTCTATAGGGCTACATGATATTTCATGCATTGTAGGTATTGTAAGAGTAGTGAGTAGAAATGGAAATAACTCTGACTTTCTTTAAAAGGACCGACCATTATCAGCAAGAGAGAGGAGGCGACTAAAGCAGTCACAGGAAGAGAGATTCCCCTCAGGTAAAGTTGTTCTCTTTTCTTCATCTTTTGGAGGTTTGACTCACGGATGTAAGTATTGGTTCTGATTGTGATGTGTTAAGAATTTTCAAGCAATAGTAATACATTTTGGAAACTGATTTGGAAGAAGTTTTGAAATTTCTTAGTCAAGCCTTTAAAAACAATTCAGCATAGGCTGTTGGATCTGGAACTTGTATTATTAATGGAAGAGGATTTTAAAAAGAGAGCAAGAGGGCTTTGAGTGGCAGTAATTCCTGGAAGGTTTCAGACAGGAAATCGAGTGTTTAATTTGTTTGCATGTTCAGAGTCTGCTGGTCATAGAAGTGCTGTTTTCTCAGGAACGGAGAGAGGAAACTGGGAGAATGGTGGTGCCTAGGGCTACGTGCTGTGATCACTCCTATTACTATTATCTAAAGACAGTACTGGCGTTTCCATTTATTGAATGCTAATTAAGTTTCATGCACCGTGGTAAGCATTTTAAGGGCATTATCTCAATTTATATTTACAGTAACTGTCAAAAGTAGTCAGCATTATCCCATTTTGCAGCTTAAGGAACTGAGGCTCAGAGTGGGTTAAGTATCTTGCTTAAGATCACAGAGCTGGTTGACCGAGAGCTCAACTTTGAACTGAAGTGTCAGATACCAGAGTGATGATGATATGCTAACTGAGTTACTTCTGAACTGGTCCTTGCTGGGTTATCTCCCATACCCAGTGCAAAGCCCTCTTCTGTTGAGGCCAGCCCATCACAAACCACTGCTGGGGATGGTCACTTTTTCAGGCCCTTCAGTGAGGAGAGCTTCTGTGAGTACACCGGGGCCAGGGCAGCCACAAGAGGAAAGCCAGCTCACCCCTGCTCCAAGGTTGTCTTCTGACCGAAGCTTTGCTCAGGTACATTGCTTAGCTCGAAGGAGAAAAGGTGGACATGTCTGCATCTGGCAAGCCTAATATAGTAGACCTCATAAATACCAGTTCCAGGGCAAGATCTGTTTCCTTAACAATATTCTGTGATTTAGTCGTTTCACTAATTGAGATGGTCCTTTCCATTTTCCAAAGTTGTAAGGTTTGTGTGTAATTATATCAAATAATCCTTTAAAGTACTGTATTTTAAGAAAGTGTCTCACATATGAACAAACTGAGGTTGCTTTTATTTAGGTGGCATTCTATCTAGCTTAAAATGCCAATGTTCCTTATGGTACCAGCCCCCTGCTTAGGAGTTGGAACACCAGAGTTGTTTGTCCACTCTTTTTTTTTAATATATTTTATTGATTTTCCACAGAGAGGAAGAGAGAGAGATAGAGAGTCAGAAACATCGATGAGAGAGAAACATCGATCAGCTGCCTCCTGCACATCCCCCACTGGGGATGTGCCCACAACCCAGGTACATGCCCCTGACCGGAATCGAACCTGGGACCCCTCAGTCCGCAGGCTGATGCTCTATCCACTGAGCCAAACCAGTTTCGGCTGTTTGTCCACTCTTGTCTGGAAAGGAAATGTCTTCATAGCTGAGACTTTCCAGGGCCTTATAAAACTTCACCTTGATGTTCCTCAGGCTTCACTTGTGAATTTCATGGGTGAACTGGGACATGATTTGGGTAAAATAACTTCAATTTTTATATCCATTAGTTTCTCCTGTTAAATTGGATCTAAGTGCACAATGTAGCTAGACATTGCATCTAAGGCATTTTCATTTATTGCATTCTGGTTGTGTTGTCATGTGGAATTTTGTTTTTCCAAACATTAATAGAAAAGGAAACTTACCCATTGTTTCTCTGAGGAGGAGTTAAGTTCTTCTACAAGTTCAACTGATAAATCAGATGGGGATTCCAGGGAAGGGTAAGTTCTATTTTTCTCTCTCTTCATAAAGTATTTCTGTTTGAATTAATCCTAAATGTATATTTATAGAAGTAGTCAGACCTGTAGTATTGTCATTGCTAACATTATAAATGGTTTTTTATATATGCTAGCATTAAAAATAGCTCTTCTAATGAGCACATCAGATTTTCATTCAGAATTTTATGAATATCTTCTAATGTTTTTTGGACCCCCTTCTGTCTTCTTAAGGATTCTGGTTACATTATTAATTACTAGAGGCCTGTTGCACGAAAAGATTCGTGCAATAGGCCTTCCCTTCCCCTGGGTGCCAGCACCGGTTTTCCTCCGGCACCCAGGACCCAGGCCGAGGCGCCTTCAAGCCTCTCGCGGCTCCGGCGGCCGGAGGCGCCTTCAAGCCTTTTGGAGCCGCCTTTCTCTTCACTCCGCCGCTTCGTGCCTATGTATGCAAATTAACTGCCATCTTTGTTGGCGGTTAATTTACACATCTTGCTGATTAGCCGATGGGAGACGTAGCGAAGGTACAGTCAATTTCAATCTTTGTCTATTATTATATAGGATTTAAAGCTGTCCCATAGCTCACCAATGGTATTAATATTTTTAGACTTTTTTTGTTTTATTTTGCATAGATTTTATTGCTATATCATTGAATTCACTATTCTAACTTTTCTTCTGTGGTGTCTGATCTGTTAATCCCATCCATGTATTTAACACATTGTGTTTTTCATTTCTAGGAGTTCATTTTGGGTCTTTTTTTTTTATCCTCATCTGAGGATATATTTTTATTGATTTTGAAGAGAGAGAGAGAGACAGAGAGATAAACATTGATCAGTTGCCTCCTGTATGTGCCCCGACTGGGATCAAACCCAAAACCTAGATATGTGTCCTGACCAGGAATGGAACCCATGATCCTTTGGTGCATAGAACAATACTCCAACTAACTGAGCCACACTGGCCAGGACTAAGTTGGGTCTTTTTAAATATCTTCCATGCCTCTCCTTAATATTTAATACTTTTGTTTACTTTGGACATATGAAATATATTTATTATAACTTTATAGTTATTACTTATAATAACTTCAATGTCTTTATTTACTAATTCTATCACTTGTGTCACTTCTGGGTCTTTTTCTGTTACCTGCTTTTCTTTTCACAAATGTGTGCTATTTTCTTGCTTCTTTGCATGTTTGGTATTTTTGACTGGATTCCAGACATTGTCAATTTTCTCTCATTAGAACATGGTATTTTTATATTTCTTTAAATATTCTTGAGTTTTGTACTTGAATGCAGTTATTTAGAGATAGTTGGGCAGAATTTATAGAATTCTGGGGCTTCCTCTTTCTGGCTCTCCCCTTTCCAAGATTCCTCTCTCTTTCTAGTGGCAGTGGTTGTCTTGAACCTGTGTCCTTTGGTTCTGCAGGCCAGAAAGACTGTGGGTTTTCTGTTGTACTTTAGCACCTATGGCCTTCCCTTCTAGGGTAAAAGGTGTTGACTTCCTTCCAGAATCTGCTCGCAGATCTTGTACATTCTCCAGTGTCTTCATAGTGTTGATTTCTGTGTTATGTTCAGCCTTTATACCTGTTACTTATGGAAGGGTCTGTCTGCAGGAGCTTGCTTGGCCATTTGGAAGCAGAACTTCCTAAAGGTTATTTGGTCATTTGGCATCTCATTTTTTATTATTTATTTATTTTTAAAATTCTTGTTTAAAGTATTACATATGTCTCCTTTTTCCTCCATTGACCTCTCCCCGGCCACCCCCACCCTTGGCATCTCATTTTTTAATGAAAACTTTTCATGAAGTCAATTTAATAATAAGGGGAATTTCTTTTTTCTAGGAAAGGTCATTCAAGTGAAATGAGTGATTTGGTACAATTGATGACTCAGACCCTAAAATTGGACTCTAAAGAGAACTGTGAGGATCTCCCAGTACCAGATCCAGTGTCAGAATTTAAACTTCATCGGAAGTATCGGGACACACTGATACTTCATGGGAAAGTTGCAGAACAGGCAGAGGAACTCCATTTTAAAGAGCTACCTTTAGGTGATCAGTTTATTCTTTTACAGCAAACTGGAGAGCATGTTTATTGGAGAAATGTGTCAAACCAAGGAGCAGCTAATGCTTGCAAATTGTTTTGTCTTTTTATTCTTTCATTTGGATATCTCCATAAAAGGTATATCTTGTTTTATGTAACAGTTGTGTTCCTGAAAAGTTGCATGAAAATTGATTTTTAAAAATATGTGTAAATAAATACATGTTTGGAATTTTTCACATGGATTCTCTTCAAGTTAGACAGTTGTGCATTTTAAGTTTAGGAAGTAGTAATGAGACATAAAGCATAAATTCATATATAGTAATACCTTGTTTTATTGTGCTTCACTTTATTGCACTTTGCAGATATGGTGTTTTTTACAAATTGAAGGTTTATGGCAATCTTGCATTGAGCAAGTCTATTGATGCCATTTTTTCACAGGCTCAGATGACAGCAATTTTAGCAATAAAGTATTTTTAAATTAAGGTATACACATTGATTTTTTATTTTATTTTTAATAATTTTTACTGATTTCAGAGAGGAAGGGAGAGGGAGAGAGAGATAGAAACATCAATGATGAGAGAGAATCATTGATCAGCTGCCTCCTGCACTCCCCACACTGAGGATCAAGCCCGAAACCCAGGTATGTGCCCTTGGCTGGAATAGAATCTGGGACCCTTGAGTCTGCAGACCGACGCTCTATCCACTGAGCCAAACCAGCTAGGGCCACATTGATTTTTTAAAACATCATTACTATTACATACTTCATTGACCACAGTATAGTGTAAATATAACTTTTATATGCACTGGAGAAACCAAAAATGCGTGTGACAAACCTGCAATATCTCTGAAGTATGCCTATATACATTTTAGTCATTGAAAATACATGAAGTCATTAAACTAAACTCTTGTCAAAATGAAAAAGATCTTAACATGACAAGATTTTTTAAAAGCAACACAATGCATTCTTCTTGCTTCCATGGTGAAAGTATTCATTTTTCCCTCTCTCTGTTATTACTTTTAAGCTATCATTCCAGGTTCTGAAAAGATTAGAAGAATAGTTGAAATCTTGAGAGCTGATGTAGTCCAGGGCCTGGGGATTCAGCTTTTAGAGCAGGTATATGAACTTTTGGAAGAGGAGGATGAATTGAAGAGAGAGGTGAGTGTCCTATTAGCTGTGTCAGCTGCTTATGCTGTAAAATTTCTTTAACAGCCTTTTGAAATATAAATTAACATTCCCTACATTTTACACATTTAAAATGTACAATTCAGTGGTTTTTTAGTATATTCAAAGTTGTGCCACCATCACCACAACCAATGTTAGAACATTTAATTACTCCTTGAAGAAACCTTGTACCCATTGGCAGTCACTCCCCGTTATTCCCAAAGCCCTCCATCCCTGAGCAACCACTAACATTTCTGTCTCTATAGATTTGCCTATTCTAGATATTTCATTTAAATGGAATCACACAAAATATGTTGTCTTTTGTGATTAAATTCTTTTACTTAGCTTAATACATAATACATGTATCACATACTTCATTCCTTTATATAGACAAATATAGTTCACTAGAGGCCCAGTGCACAAAATTTGTGCACTGTAGGGTCCCTAGCAGTTGCCAGCTGCTGTCTGGGTACTCCCTCCTTTCCCTCGGCCTGCCCTGCCCCCTAGTCGAACTTCCAGATGAACTCCCGGTTGAGGGGACAATTTGCATACTACGCTTTTATTATATAGGATTATATGGCTATAGCGTGTTTTGTCTATCTGCTTATGGACATTTAAATTGTTTCCACTTTTTGGCTATTATTAATAATGCTGCTATGAACATTCATGTATAAGTTTTTGTGTAGACATATGTTTTCATTTTTCTTGGGTATGTATCTACGAGTAGAAATTGCTGAATCATATGGAAAGTATATATTTAAGCCCTAACCAGTTTGGCTCAGTGGATAAAGCCTTGGCCTGCAGACTGAAGGGTCCCAGGTTCGATTCCGGTCAAGGGCATGTACCTTGGTTGCGGGCACATCCCCAGTAGGGGGTGTTCGGGAGGCAGCTGATCGATGTTTCTCTCTCATTGATGTTTCTAACTCTCTATCCCTCTCCCTTGCTCTCTGTAAAATAAATAAAAATAAAATAAAATATATATAACATAAAATTGTCCTTATTAAAAAAAAAAGTATATATTTAACATTTTGAAGAATGGCCAGACTGTTTTCCAAAGCAGCTTCCTCATTTTACATTCCTACCAGTAATGTGTGAGGGTTCTAATTTCTTCACATCCTTGTCAACACTTATTGTCATCATTTTGGTTATAGCCATCCTAGTGGGTCAGGAGTAGTTTCTCATTATGGTTTTGATTTGCTTTTTCCTAATGAATAATGAACATGGAGAATCTTTCATGTACCTGTTGGCTATTTTATATATTTTTTGGAGCCTTGTCTATTTTGATCTTTTACACATTTTAAAATTGTTATTTGTATTTTTATTGTTGAGTTGTAAGAGTTCTTTATATATTCTGGATACAAGTTCTTTATCAGATGCATGATTTGCAAAAAGTTTTTCCCATTCTGTGGTTGTTTTTTCACTTTCTAATGACATTGTTTGTACCACAAAAGATTTTAATTCTGTTGAAATTTAATATATCTATTTTGTTGCTTGTGCTTTTGGTGTCATATCTAAGAAGGCTTTGTGTAACCTAAGATCACAAAGATTTATTCCTATTTTTTCTTCTAAAAATTTTATCATTAGCCTGGACAGTATGTCTTGGTTGTTTGGAACATCGTCCCATGCACCAGAAGGTGGTGGGTTCAATTCCCTATCAGGGCGCATGCCTGGTTTGAGGGTTCAACCCTGATTGTGGTGTGTCAGGAAGCTGCTGTTCAATGTTTCTCTCTCACATCAATGTTTCTCTTTCTTTCTCTCTATCTCAAATCAATGAAAACATATCCTTGGGTGAGGATTAATAATAATAAAATAAATAAAAGGGTTTTTAAAAAAATATATATTTTTTATTGATTTCAGAGAGGAAGGGAGAGGGAGAGATAGAAACATCAATGATGAGAGAGAATCATTGATCAGCTGCCTCCTGCACACCCCTTACTGGGGATGAGCCCACAACCCAACCATGTTCCCTTGACCGGAATCGAACCTGGGACCCTTCAGTCTGCAGGCCAACGCTCTATCCACTGAGCCAAACCAGCTAGGGCAAAATAAATAAAAGTTTTTTCATTTAAATTCTTACATGAGTATCATGATAAATCTCGAGCTGTCCTGTTCCCTCCCACCCAGGATGTGAATCATCCGTTTGTCATAGTTAAATATTTTTTTCTTGTGATGAGAACTTTTATGATCTACTCTTAGCAACTTCAAATATACAATACAGTATTGTTAAGTATAGTCACTGTACTATACATATATCCCAAGAACTTATTTTATAACTGGAATTTGTACCTTTTGATCATCTCTACCCATTTCCCTTACCCCTCAACCCCCACCACTAGCAACCACCAATCTGTTCTCTATTTCTGTGAGTTTGTGTGTTTTTTCTTTTTTTTTTTTGGTGTTTTTTTTTGGGGGGGGGCGTGCAAAAATAGTTTAATAGGTTCTACCAAACAGGCCAACAGGGGAGTGGTTAGGGGGTGATCAGGCTGGCAGGCAGAAGCGGTTAGAGGCAGTCAGGCAGGCGAGCAGTTGGGAGCCAGCAGTCCCGGATTGCTGGCAGTTGGACATCCCCCAAGGGGTCCCAGATTGGAGCGGGTGCAGGCTGGGCTGAGGGACAACCACCCCCCCAGTGCATGAATTTTGTGCACCTGGCCTCTAGTTTCTTTAAATATTTTTCTACTTCTTTCTCTCTCTTTTTTTCTCTGGTCCTCCCATCACACCGGTGTTGGTATGCTTAAATAGTGTCCCACATTTCTCTGAGGCTCTGTTTATTTTCTTTACTCTCTGTCCTGTGGATTACATAATCTTTATTGATATATCTCCAAGCTTCCTTGTTCTTTCATTAGTTCAAACATACTGTAGAGCCCCTCTGGTGAGTCTTTTGTTATTACAGCACTTTTTAATTCCAGAATTTCCATTTGGTTCTTTTTACAATTTATCTCTCTTTATCGATATTCTTTGATATGACATTATCATCATACTTTACTCTGTAATCATGATTTTCTTTAGTTTTTGTGAACATGTTTATAATGGCTATTTTTACGTTTGTTTGTTTTTTCGTTAAATCCAACATCTGATTGTTCTCACAGGCAGTTTCTCTTTGCATGCTTTCCCCCCCCAGTGTACGTGTCATACCCTGTTTCTTTGCATGTCTCCTAACTTTCTTTTGGAAACTGGAAATTTTAGACATCTATATATATAAAAGGCTAAGTGGCTGGCCGGCCAGTACATATGACGTGCACTGGCAATTTAAAAATAAATGAGTCACGCATGCACGATACTTATAAAGCTCTCACTGGTGCCAATCACACGTGTGTTTTAACTTTATGATACTATCTTACATATACTATTTTGACATGTAACTTTTTGCAGTCATGTAATTACCACACGAATCTTTCTTCTAATTAATTTCCTTTCAATGTGAGCGAATGCGTGCACTGGACCACTAGTGGTTTTGTAACTTTGGTTACTGGCCTCCCTGGGAGTGAGGGTTGTTACTGTTATTTGATTGTTTAGTAATTAGCTGGATTATTTTAGTGAGGTTTATTTTATTCCTTCCTCCTTTCCCTACAGTGTAAAGCCTCTGATATTGCCCCTCAGTGGGTGCAACCTTGGGCATGTCCACAGCTACCTTGGAATGACAGGGTTTGGGAGAGCTCTCTTGATACTCTCCTTTTCCCTGAACTCACCCAGCTGTTAAGGTTTTTTAGTTGTCAGCTGCTTGCTCTGCTGTTTTCCACAATGCCCTGGGGCATAAATTGTGTTACAGATTGATCCAGTCAAATTCAGACTCCTTTGAAGGGATAGTTCAAAAGGTCAATGTTTGAGAATGGTTCTGACCCCAGGGAAGGTCCTCCCAGCTTCTTGTTTCCATGAAAGTAGCCTACAATTTAACCTGTATATCCAATGAATCTACATACAATCTCCTCCCCTTTCACCAGTACCTCCTTCTTTTTGTTTTGTTTTGTTCTATTGAGAGCACCTTTAGGCTTGAATTTTTCCATAGTCTGCTTCAAATGAAGTCAGTTAATTTAAGAAAAGATTCCAGGTAAAATCTCTGAGCAAAGCTCTCCAGTTGAGGTGTGAGGACAATTAGCATGCTTGTTTCTGAGTGATATCCCTACTTTAAAAACTCTGTGGGCCTGGCCTGTGTGGTTCAGTGGTTGAGCATCGAACCAAGAGATTACCAGTTCGATCCCTGGTCAGGGCACATGCCCTGGTTGCAGGCTCAATCTCCAGTAGGGGCCCATCTTTGATGTTTCTCTCTCATTGATATTTCTATCTCTCTATCCCTCTCCCTTCCTCTCTCTCAAAAAGAAATCAATAAAAACATATTTAAAAAAATAAAAGCTCTGTGCGCCCTAGCTGGTTTGCTCAGTGGATAGAGCATTGGCCTGCGGACTGAAGGGTTCTGGATTTGATTCCAGTCAAGGTCACATGCCCGGGTTATGGGCTATCCCTGGTCAGGGGTGTGCAGGAGGCAGCCAATCTATGAGTCTCATCATTGATGTTTCTCTCTCTCTCCCTGGAGCTTTCCCTTCCTCTCTGAAATCAATAAAAATATATTTTGGGGGAAAAAAAAAAAAGCTCTGTGGGGGAAAAGGGGCTTCAGTCTGGTCTTCTCAGCATGCTTCACCCAGTCTTGGGCAAAGGCAGATTAGGACTCCACTATTTTCAGTGTCCTGTACCCAAGGTCGAGCCTCCTTCCTACAAGTCAAGCTGGGTGTAAGAAGGAAACTCCCACCTCTTGGCTGCACTCTTCCAAAACTTACCAACAACAGGTACTGGGGGCAGGATGAGATAGATATTCTGATGTCCTGCCTCTTCCAGGAACATAGCCTTCTGACTGGAAGTTGGGGGAAAGAGCCCTGTTTTGTTGGCTTCACCAGGCTGATGTACTTTTTATCTCATTAGGGCTGGGAGTGGAGAGGGAGTCAGTTGATCTTAATTCATATACTACAGATTCTCACCATTCTTAATTTTAGATTATCTTGGGGGGGTGGAAAAGTGTCTTTATTTGCTGTATGGCCATTTTCAGAGACTTTTCCATCTGCAGAGCTCCTTGTGCTGTCCTACCACATGTGGAACCAATTAGGATTACATTTTAGTTGTTACATCTCCTTTAATATGGAACAATTACCCAGTCTTTTTTTTTTTTTTACTACCTTGATATTTTTAAAGAGTATATGCCATGTACTTTATAAAATGCCTGTTTGGATTTGTTTGACCTCTTGAGTAGATTCAGATTATGCATTTTGGGCAGGAATATTACAGAAGTGATGTTGTGTCCTTAGTACATTATATCAGGAGGTCCATATCTGTTTAACACATCTGTTAATTTCAGGCATTTTTTTCAACATAGTGTCACATAGTAAATTTTCTTGATTTCTAGTCTTGAATTTTCTATATATTAATTGGTTATTTGTATTATTTTGTAAATGCCTTTGCTGAATTACACATGGGATTGATTTTGTTGTTTTATCAATTCTGATGTTCAATAAAACACTAGTTTTATTGATTCTAAGAGCTCCTTTATATACTAACATATACATATATAAATATATATATATATATATATCCCCCCAAAAATGTATACACACAGCTGATAGTTCAGTTTTGAAAATTACATTGTTTCAATAAACACTGCCTTTAAAAGTATTCAAAGTGTATGTATACATTTTTGGGGGACACCAGATATATATACACATATTTTGTTGTGGTTCTCATCTGAGGATATATTTTCCATTGATTTTTAGAAAGAGTGGAAGGGAGGGAGGGGGGGAGAAAACATCAATGTGAGACACACACATTGATTGGCTGCTTCCCACATGCACCCCAACTGGACCATGGGATCGAGCCTGCAACCTTGGTATGTGCCCTTGACTGGGAATTGAACCCGCAACCCTTCAGTGCGTGGGCTGGCGCTCTAACCACTGAGCACACCAGCCAGGGGAGGACATCTGTATACTAATATATTTTGCATGTATGTTGAAAATATTTTTGCTAGTTTATTGTTTGCTTTTTAATTTCTTACGACTATTTTTTGATATCTTGAAGTTCAAATTTTTATGTAAATATACTTGGTATTTACCCATATGATATCCACCTTTGGTATCATGCTTAGTAAAGCTGTTCTTCTAAGATTAGAGAAATATTTTTTCTACTACATACTGATTTTCTTTTTATGTTTCCCAAATAGGTACGTTTGCAGGAGCATATGGGTGAAAAGTATACTACTTACAGTGTGAAAGCTCGCCAATTGAAATTTTTTGAAGAAAATGTGAATTTTTGAGAATTTATTCTAATCTGCTGCCAGAGCTAAAGACTTATATTCAAAAGTTTTTGGCTTAAACAGAAACAAACTTATAATGATGGTTGGAGGCTATTCACCATCTTTATATCTCTTGGGTGGTTATTTTTTGTTTTGTTTTTTACTGGAAAAAAAATGGGACAGACCAATGTAATATGAAGCAAACTCACAACAGAAAGAACCTTTGGCTGTCTTATTCTCTTTGTGAAGAAAAATCTGTTTTAAGACTTTGTTTGTTTATTTACTGAGCCTTAAACCACCAATTTTATATCTAGAACTTTATTTTTTTAAAGTATTAATTAGCTTGAATACAGAACCATATAATATTGGATTGAAAGTTTTATATTATACTGCAGTGATAAAAGCAATAGGAGAAATAAATGACATATGTCCAGTGATACTACTTGTCATTGTTAATAACCTTAGGTAGTAGTTGATAAATTATTTTGGAAAAAGTAAATTCAAGATTCTAGGAGTATATTTAAAGAACATGAAGTTGTATCTAGTACTTGAGCAATTGAATTCCTCTTTACTGATGGACATTTAACATTGTATTTTCATGTAATATGCACCTCATCTAGGGTATATAAGAATTGAAACTAAGAGGTATTTTGGCTTTGTAAATAAATGTTTTTATATGCTTTTTTTTTTTTTAGATTTCTCCATGAGGGAAAACATTTCTTAAACACTTATTCCTTTTCCAGTTAAGCAATTTATAAGTAGAGTCCAGCTCCTTTTAGTTATGTTGGACATATTTCTCTCCTCAAGTTTGGCTTCTTGTACATCAAGATATTGGTTGTCTTCCCATGTTTCAAATGTATGTTTATGTACTACCTGTTAGTTATTTATGAGGGGTATTGCCCACCTAGGAAACAGTTTTTATAAAATAAGTATTGATTAGTAAATTTTCACCTCTGTATTCAGGAGACTCTAAAAATGAATTCTGCTCCAGAAATGTTTTTTATATATAATTAAAAATATATCTTCTCACCTGGCTAGTATGGCTATGTGGTTGAGTGGCGACCCATGAACCAGGAGGTCATGATTTAATTCCTGGTCAAGGTACATGTCCAGACTGTGGGCTCCATCCCCAGTAGGGGGCATGCAGGAGGCAGCCGATTGATGATTTTTCTCATCATTGATGTTTCTCTCTCTCCCTTTCCCTTCCTCTCTGAAATGAAAAAATATTTTTTAAAAATGTATCTTCTTTGAAAATATATACACACATAAAGTACTCTAATGAAATGTTTCCTTTCTAGTCACTTAACAGATCTTTATTTACTGTTTTGCTAGGTGCTATTTCTGGAGCTGGGTATATAGTGATGACTTAATACTCCCTGTCCTTATAATGCTCATAGCCTGGTTTTGGAGACCTCTTATTTTCACTTTGAAGGGTTTGTTAGAACTCAACTATAAAACCATCTAGTCCCATTGGGGGGAAAAAAAGAGGACACCTGTCCCATTTTTTTTTTTCCAGTAATAGTTTCAACAATAAAGATAAATAAAACACATCTAGTCCCAGTGCCTAGATGGGGGCAAATCCTTGGTCTTCCTGAGCTATTCACCATTTCTTGCACATTTCAGAAATATGTTTTCTAACTTATTGATATAAAGTTGTACATACTTTCTTAGAATAAAAAAACTCCTGCTCCTAACTTTTAAACCATATTTATTATACTTATTGATGTATTTCATCTATGTATTTCTGCCTTCCTTTTTTAAAAAACTTTCCTGACTTTTGCTGTATTAAGGTCTTTGCTCCCTTTTTCTTAAACTCACAGTTTGGAAGTCCTATATCCTGGTACTGAGAAACAGAGTATTACCTATAATAACCCTCACCCTCACATAAGACCTTTAGAACATTTTCTCTTCAGCCTTCTGGAAAATTTAAAAGGAATTTATGACTTCACTAAAGGCCTGGTGCACGACATTAGTGCATGGGGGGAGAGGGGGTAGGCTCAGCCCAGCCTGCGCCCTTTAGCAGTCTGGGAGCTCCTAGAAGGGAGTGGACCTAAGCCAAAGGGAGCGGACCTAAGCTGTCAGCCCAGCTTGTGGCTGAGCAGCGTTCCCCCTGTGGAAGTGCACTGACCACCAGGGGGCAGCTCTTGTGTTGAGCATCTGCCCCCTGGTGGTCAGTGTGCATCATAGTGACCTGTTCCGCTTTTTATTTGCATATTACCCTTTTATATAGGTTTTCACTCTGGTCCACCTCAGGTAAAGAATAATGAAATGTTTTCTGCTTAACATCAGCCTTATTTCATGGTATTAAAATACTACTTCATCACAAATTTACATTTGTAAATTTTTTCATTAAGTGCTTATTGTTTTTAAGAATTAGAAATGGGGCTTACTGACACTGTCAGAACTACGAGCTTCTAACTTTGGCATTTACTAGTAATCTTGCTAGCAGAACAATGAATAAAAGACTTTAGGCATAGACTTGCACTGTGAGTTTTAATTGAAAATATTCGAACAGCTTAATAATGAATTATAAAACTTTGATAATTAAGTTGTACTACCATTTATGAAGCACATATTACTTTTGTAGACCTGAAAGAAACTTTGCATACTTGTATTTTCTGTTCTCCATTTCAGAGAAACTATGAAGAGGTCTAAAATATATACAAGTCAAAGCCCAACCAAGAAGTGAAATATAAAGAGAAAAAAAAATCTGTAACAGCTGTACCGTAGGAGCATTGGTGGTTTTTAGCTCGTGTTTTGGCTGTGAAAATTTAGCTCATCTCACAGGATACAAAAGCAGGTGCAACAATAGAGCTGAATCATGTAAACCCCCGATCAATTATTTTTAGCATGCCTTTTAACTTTCCTTTCCCCTGGTTTCTTGTCTTCTGTGCCTGAGTCTTGAACTGGTAACCACTTGAGGGGGTGCCGGCGATAAATGGGCCATGGAGGAAGTGTCAGCTGAGCCAGAACAGAGAAAATGAATCAGTTGCAGCCACTAAAGAGCATTATGTACTATGCCTGGTTCCCAAATGACTCCTACACTAAAGGTAAAACCAGCGGTTCTCAACCTATGGGTCGTGACCCCTTTGGCGGTCGAATGACCCTTTCACAGGGGTCGCCTAAGACCATCCTGTATATCAGATATTTACATTATGATTCATAACAATAGCAACATTACAGTTATGAAGTAGCAACGAAAATAATTTTATGGTTGGGTCACGACAAGAGGAACTGTATTTAACGGGCCAGAAGGTTGAGAACCACAAAACCAACAACAAAATGACATCCGTATGAAAACCATGCCACTGCTCAGACAAGATACTTTGTGATGCAAGCAAGCCTCACTGTTTACACATATAGCTTTAAGGGCCAAAATAAAGGAGGGGAGGGAGCAGTGTGAAGATCATAAAAAATACTTGGCCCAGCTGGTGTGGCTCAGTGGTTGAGCGACAGACAACCCAGGACCAAGGGGTTACCGGTTTGATTCTGGGTCAGAGCACATGCCCAGGTTGTGGGCTCAATCCCCAGTGTGGGCATAGCCTATTTTTTAAAAAAAATAAATTTTATTGATTTTTTATAGAGAGGAAGGGAGAGGGATAGAGAGAAACATCGATGAGAAAGAAACACCAATCAGCTGCCTCCTGCACACTACTGGTATGTGCCCGCAACCAAGGTACATGCCCTTGACCAGAATCGAACCTGGGACCCTTGAGTCTGCTGAGCCAAACCGGCTAGGGCAAGGGCATAGCCTATTGATGATGTTTCTATCTCTCTATCCCTCTCCCTTCCTCTCTAAAAAATCAATTTAAAAATATTTTTAAAAAATTCCTGCTAGCTTTAACTTTCAGATTATCGCTTGGAGCAGCTGCCAAAATAAATGTGGTGTATCCTTTTATGCAGCTTTCCTCATCTGACCCTATAGCAAGGGGAAACATTGATGGAAAAGGATGAGGGAAAAGTTAGCGCTGGTTTTCTCTAATAGGTCCAACCAAAACAACCCAATTCAGACAACACGAGTTGCCACTAATATTCAAACACCCACAGATTTCTTACCAAACACGAAAAAACAAATCCAGCCATAACTATATAGACAGTCCACCCGAACTGTTCAGCCACGTACCCGTAGATAAATCCAACTATCTAGAGACAAAGTATATTGAATACAGTCAGTCTGGGGGTAAGAAGAAGACACACACACACAAACCCAAACACACAAAAGATTATGCAAAAGTCAATACTTACTGCTGAAAAGAGAATAATTCCCTGAAACATCTGTTCAGCTAGCTTCTGGCCCTTGTAATCCTAGAGGTGAAGGAAAGCAAAGCAGGATTCGTTCCATCACCGAAGAGATACCATTCCTGCCCTGGTCTCACAGCGTTGGCACCGGGCAACCCAACGTCAGGGGTTCCCCCAAGGAAATGCTGGGTTTCCCGGGGGAACGGAAGCACCCTAACGGAGCACGGGCGGGGGGATTCTCGCGGAGGAAGGGAGGAGGGGAAGAGTGGAAGGGAGGAGTCGGAGCCAGGAACCGCGGTGCAGCGGGTGGGTCTCCCACAGGGACTCCGAAGCTGCCAGCGGGCGAGCGGCGGCGAGGCTTCCGGGGCCGAGGCGGGTCTCACCCTCACCATTTGCGTGGGCAGCGAGCTCAGTTGCTCCAGCATGGCTGGCTGAGGACGCGGGCAGCAGAATGCTGGCGTCCGGGA